GAATCTATATCGACAGTTGGGTATGGCTTCACGAGCTGAGGCGAAACAGATTTCCGGATGTCTGACACTGTTAGAGGTAATTATTTTATTTGTATATTTTCTTTAATTATTTAATATAATTAATATTTATATTATTTTTAAATTGTGTTTCATACGTTTGTATAGTGTTGGATATACGAGTATTTTCCGAGTTTTCGACCTCCGACGGTTAAAGCACACGTTATAGGAGAGCCATGGTGCATGAGGTGGCATATATCAGACGTGGTTCGAAAGGATAGCAGTCGATTACTTGAGTATCGTCGGATGCTTGATCATTTACGTGCAACCGATGTAAGTAACTTGTACAATGTATTGTTTCATTTGTCTGAATTAACTGTATTATTAATATGTATATTTTATTATAATAGGTTTATTGGACTCCGTTTGGTCCGAATGTGGCACGTGATGTCGAGAAGACACTCCATCATGGTACTATCAGGTTCATGGATACGATCGAGCCTTACATGTCCGATAGAGTCTTGCGCCAATTCGGCTTTCGACAGATTATTCCCGCGTCCCCTATTCTACCGATGCGTGGTTCTAAGAGGGAAAGAAAAATTGTTTCGTATAAAGTACGTTACGAGTCCAATGATTATGCATGGAGTATCCCAAACGTGCACAGACTTGAGCAGACTTACTACGGTCATAGGGCGGATCCAGCTTGGGAGGTTGCTACAGATTACATGGATTGGTATATACCTCGTACTCACCTTCGTGTAGATCCCAGTACTGATTTATTGGAGAGAGCAGAACCATCTCCAGTTCCATTCGTGTACGATATCACACGATTGTTGCATCCGTACTACTACGATCACTTGCCACCATCCCGTATTCCAGGATATCATATGGTACCAGATGATGTCTTTAGACAGGTTCAGGATCTGTGCACGCCATTTTCTGATTATTTACAGTTGCAGCCACCCGATATTCCCGATGATGATATGGATGCTGAGCATGATACTGGACCGTCACGTATGCCATATTCCCAGAGCAGGCGGCAGAGGAGGGACTAGTAGCTATTGTTATATTTATTTTTGTTATTTCTTTTAGTTATTTCTATGTTTTTTTTTTTATTATCGACAGAATTGCGTATTTTTAGGTTTATTTCAGTGTGCCGGATTACTAGGATAAATGAACAATGTTATTTTTAGGTTTATTTCAGTTTTTGTGTTTCATATTATTTCAGTTCTTCTCTTTCTGGATAAATGAATATTGTTATTTTTGCCCAGTAGAAAATGAAATAAATATTTCTAATTTAATAAGTCTTAATAAACAAATTTGCGGTAGCCAAGTTGGTCAGGGTTCTGATTTACTGCCCAATTGACCCGTGTTCGAATCTTGGCAGCGCGTGTGTATTTTGAATTTTTGCCCAGAAAAACATGAAATGACCAATTATATTTAATTAACTTTATATTCACAAAATCTTTATTGCCTAACTGGCAGGGGAGTGGGCCGTAGCTCAATGTTATCCTGGGTTCGAGTCCTTCATGGAGCCCGAATTTTTGATTTTTTGATTAAAAAATGCAGTTTGTTAAGAAAAGATACAGTAGCTGAAAAACTTTGGCTTGGCAGAGAGCATCACAGCAGCATCACAGAAAACTAAAATATTTTAATAATTCACACAAACATCCATAAATTATAAATAAATTACATAAACATCAAAAAAACTAAAATAATTTAATAATTCACACAAACATCCATAAATTATAAATAAATTACATAAACATCAAACAACATAAAATCACGAGAAAATCCTAAAAATGGGTACATTGATAGTCTTCGCTCGGATCCTCCTTGATTTGCCAAATGTTTTCAGAATCTCATTAAGTTGAATGATCATCTGTGAGTGATACTGAGCCCAAAAGGTGTCAAATCCACCGGTGGACGACGACAACCAATCCTTTACTGCTTTATGACCGCTCTCAACCCTAATTAGTGAACATAGGAAATTTTTAATTCACAACTAATATTAAATTACGATTTATATTGCACAAGTAATATTAAATTACCTGTTTGTCGAGGTATTGCCGAGGTGGAATACATAATCTGTCCATGCACGAACAAACCTATCTTTGTATATGAGCCAAGTCGTATCTAGGTACTCGAGTAAATCCGCATTGTTTCTGTACTCATCGACCATCGCCGCAAGGTTACTCTCGTATTGTGCAACAGATAGTGAAGTTACAACTTTTTGCCAAACCTCACGAACGAAGGTAATTCCTCGAGACTTACTGTTACCCAAGCATTGTGCAGCACGACGACCCACATTCCTATTGATATGGAATGTGCATAGAAGATGATATGACTCTGGGAACACATTCTCTAACCCCTTTATTAGCCCCAATTCCCTATCAGTCACAACGACCCCCGGTACATTGTTTGGGAGGTATAGTTTTCTCAAATTGTTCAACGCCCACGTATAATGATCTTCATTTTCATGGCGCATAAATGCCACTGCAACAGTAAAATTCAGACCCTCAGAGCAAACACCAATAATCTCCAACAAAGGCATTTTGTACACATTTGTTTTGTACGTACAGTCAAACAACAAAACGTATGGAAACAGTCTCAACATTTCGACCGACTGAGGGTGTGCCCACATCAGATCAATCACTTCATGCGTAGTTGGATCAGTGCGGATCCACTTATAATACTTATGTTCCTCAAGCAACCCAACCAAATGCGGCATAATTGTATGTCCGCCTCTAGCCTCCTTTTTCATTTTCTCCTTTTCATTGTATATTTGTCTCAAATGCACATCTTTTGCCAAGTTCTTCTCTTTCAAATGTATTAAAATCTTCTTCGGCGGCACATGACTTTTTGCCAACATCCGAGTGATTTCCACCTCCTCTTCAGTCATTTTCGTAGACCCATGCCCAAACAAATATACGGGATCATGATTATGTTTCCCGTATAATATTCTAATTCCCCATCTATCCCCGTAATGTTGCTCTCCCTTCAAGTAAAATTTACAATTAATCTTCTTTGTGCCCGACCATCGAGAGTTTGGCACATCTGTGTCTGTTTTACTTGGTCTCTTCACCCCAAATAGATCACAAGTAAGATATGCTCTATTTGAAGGGCTACTACGGCTCACCAACTTTACACCAAGATTCTTGGCGGTCATTCTCGCCCATTGTACCAACTCAATCCTCGAGTTAAAAAGTTCCGGTACTATAAAATGCTCACTATGATCAACTTCAAATGTAGAAGAATTTTGTTGTTGCTCTTCCTGAAATAATTATAAATAAAATAAGGTTAAAGAATAATAATAATAAAAAAAAAAAAAAAAAAAAAAAAAAAAAAAAAAGTGTTCCGCTTCCAAACCGGACGCGGAAATCGGTTTTGGGCACCCAAACCGGACGCGGTTGGCAGTTTTCCGCGCCCAAACCGGACGTGGTTTTTGGTTTTTGGCGCCCAAATCGGCCGCGGGGAGTAGTTCTCCGCGCCCGAACCGGACGCGGGAAATACTTGTTCGCGTTCGAACCGGGCGCCAAGTACCATCCCGTGCGTTCGGTTTGGACGTGGATCTAGGTTTTCCGCGTTCAGTTTAGGCGTGAGACGTATTTTTGGGCGTCCAACTTGGTCGTGGGTCTTGTTTTCGCGATTTAAAGAACAAAAACGAACAAATTTTACCTCGTTGGATTCCGTATCTCGATCCTCATTCGATGCACTCATTTTTTTTTTCAAATGGCTACAATAACATGTGTTTTGGAATGATTTCTAATATAAAAGCTAAAATTGTAGAGAGAGAAAGAAAGTAGAGAGTGGATTTTTTTAAACCCGCATTCGTAATTTTGCTACCGCGAATATCACCTCCCTAAGTAAAATTAATCCTATTGAAATTTGGGGTGGATCTATTCCTATTAAAAAAAAAGGTCTTGATGGGATTTATAAAACAGCCCATATACCTTATATTCTATAGAACTCAACACGTCATTTTGCCTACGAATAGAATAACAGGCCATGAAATTAGTTGCCAAATAAATTAAATGCATACAATGTCCAAACGTAGACTCTCAGTATGAAATATTAAACTTTATTAACTAAAAAATTAAAAAAGATAGTTTGCATAGATAAAAACGAGACTTCAGTCTACTATCCTAATAATCTTCCCCTTAGACTAAAGTCACGCAGCTATACATCTCAAATCTAATCATTCAAGGTTATTATTGAAAGTCTACACCAGAAGACACTTCTTGAATACGTCAGCGAGGTTATTCTCCGATGCTATCTTCAATTTTCGTTTTGTGTTTTCTGAGATTATATTTGGATCATGTTCAAAATTGCATTCAATATTGTTGTCCTTATTTTAGTACTAATGTCAGTGACAGTACGATTGCTTATTTTATCACTTGTTTGCTTACGAACTTGAATTTCCCTACTTCAAGTTGCCTTAGAAAGACGTGAACAAGTCAAGTCGTACAACTTTCAATTGCATTTTCTAAGATTCTATCTGGACCATGATCGAAAATTAAATTCAATACTACTGTCATAATCTTACTATCCATTTCATTTTTACCATAAAAATTCAGTTGACACGATTCAAATTGGATCTTAATCTTACTGTCGACAATAGCATTTTAGACCGTAACCTTCATATTTTTACGTCAATTAGGTTGAGTCAAATTTTGCCGTAAAATTAACAAATAGACTTGCAAGGTCAAATATTTGCAATCTGAAAGATTCAAATTAAAAATAATTGCAATAAAAATTTCGTAATTTACATTGATCATACTCTCTTCAATTGCACCGATTTTAAGTTGCTTTGCCGACGTAAAATCTACAAATTGTGTTTTGCGATATTCGAGATTCAATTTATATCATACTATTAAATTTTCACGAAGAATTTAAATAAGGTGAATATTTTTGCTTTAGGTAAAAAGAACGAAAAAACACAAGTGGTCCTTCGATTATGATTATTTTGTGTTGATAAGTGTACCCGCAATTGCATGCTTCAATTCATGTCTAGTCTTCACCCAAAAATGAGAGTTACTCAGTAAAAGAGTTTGTTCCAGTTAAGCTATTACAAGAACTATTTACTTTTACTCGGTACACAGTTTTTTACTGAAAATAAAAGTTATTTCATTCTAGGCATGAGTCAGTCTCCTAACATCAACAAAGCAAATTATTCGACCATAATACAGATACAACACTGTAGTTAAACGAATACAAATATCAAGCAGAGATACCTTAAACGGACAGAATAAAATATTTTACTGATATTGCGACAAATAATTAACCTGGTTTACTATCTCCGAATTTTCCTGTCCATATCGAATCGCAGGGGCAGGAACATAATCTCACTCCAGATGCATGTGGTTCGTTGTTCTGGTAATTATCTCGGTATCCTGGTAAGGAACAAGAAATAAACATTTCACCACATGCTCAATTAAGGTAATGCAAGCATGAGATGAGCGCCTTACCTTTGGCGAAGTATTATATATTGTGGATACTTCCATCAAGAAAATAACGAGTTTCTCCACTGTCTTTAGGTCACGCTTACTAGTTCATTGCCTTATGGAAGGCAACCTGCTCACAAAAAAAAGGATAAGTCATCTTTCCACCATGCCTTTGAACTACCAAAAGATGGTTAAAGTGTTAATATGAAACTAACAGATAAGCTATACTTGAATGCATAAAATAACTAAAGATATGCTTTTAAAATAAACTAAAAAGATTGAGCAAAATCTGAAGGAACTATAGCAACTGGAAACCTGCTGCGATACGCTGAAGGCATACACATATTTACACTTTTCAGATATTTCCGACTGTATATATTTGATAATTAGCGACCATAAAAACTCCATAAAGCAATCACATATTCTAAATTTAACCAACGGTATCCTTTGCACTGCATGGGCAGTCTTTTAGCTAAATAACGCCAAGAACTTTATAGAAAAAAAAAAGTTTAGTTAGATACATACCGAAGTTGATGTTTTCAGCAGTTCTCGTATGGCCATAGTTGCATAACAAGAAGAAGGGAGTGTAAAGCTCAACTTCAGAGCCATCTGACTTTCCAGTGCTTTAGGGGCACCAAGAGATTCCTCTATATGTATATCTTCTTCTCTAACACGTTCAGTTTCTTCGGAACCTGTGGATCGCTCAATCTTGTCGTCTAAATTTTCTGGCGTGGAGCTACAACCATTTTGAAGTTTGATTTGTTCCTTATCGTTCGAGTCTCCAACACAAGTAGATGTACCTGACTTAGCAATGATGTCTAGATCTGTCTCGGCCAGTGGTATATTTGCATCTGTGTATTTGAGCAATTCCCTGCAGACGAAGCAAGCAACAATAAATTTCCAACATTCAACAAAGTTCACTAGAGGGAGAACAGAAAAGACTCGAACATACCACTCAAAGTCCTTAGGCTTTTGAAACACCCTCCTATATGCACCAGTAATGCTGGTGAATGAAAATTCCCTGTAAGCAGCAGCAGAATTTCAAAAGATGAGGCATGCTTGCGATAGCGCTAACAATCGAGAATTAAAAGGGCAAGCACATAGGGTAGAGTTTGTGTTAGGAAATGTGGAGTAATTAGGCATCAGATAGAAGATTCTGAAAACAGACAAGTATTTGGGAGATGAAAGGTTTCATGGTAATCTTTTGGGTAGTATAATCAAGAATGTACTAGAAAAGCGTCAATGAAGGTTTCAAAACGTAAAGGATTATGTCAACAACTCACTTGGAATTATGTGCACCATCTGTTAAGCTGATATTATCCTGACAAGTAAACATATCGAAATTCGTCAGAAGTTACCAAAAGCAATAGAAATATACGACAGCTATTATATTGAAGTCGAGATAAATATTTTTCTGATAGAAAATGGGTCGAGATTACGTGATATAACTGTGACTTTAATAGCCATAACAGGAGGCTCGGCTGCATTGATAGTTAAAAAAACTATACCTTTCTTGCTATATCGTGATAGATTTTCCCAATATCATTCAATGGATAAGTTATCCTCGACCTGCAAACAAAATAGTATGAAAGGTAGATATACATACGTTGCACCCTTTAATTGGGGAATTTGCATCTTGTTGAGAAATTGTGCAATAAAGACGTCTACGCTCCAGTTAAACTTTACCCAGGTAAAGGAAGGACTATATCGTCAATTGTATAAGTTCCAGCAGCTATATCTTCCTCACTGATTACCTGTCCATAAGAAGGAATTAACATAGATTCCCTATAATTAAGATAAGGAACATATCGAAATTGTAAGACTTGTCATGATATATATCACTAGGAATAGCATGAGTCTCTTAAAAACTATATCGGAATAACATGTATAAATTATCTTTTGGTATAAATCAGCTAAAGCTTATATTCAGCATGTTGACCAGCATCAAAATTCCATATTAACATATGGATGAGATACTGCTACGAATACGAGTTAATATGATTTCCAAAAAAATCAAGTTTATGCAACCTTGCTACACTAAGCAGGTCATCTCAAAATAAGAGCACTAGAGTCGAAGTTTTTGCTACTGGATCTATTCGGAACATCCCAACGGGCCCAAACCCCACCCAACCCAAGCTACAACTAGTGTTATGTTAGATAGTATTTGGTCGTTTGTGTTTATTTTCTTGTTATGACTTGGTTTTTCTCATCTCCATTTAAGGGTCGGTTTATTCAATAAAATACACTCTAGTGTTTCCTGAATTTTCTATTCTAACATGACATCAAAGAAGGTTGCAAAAAGAAAAGAGAGAAAATAAAAATCTGAACAGATATATGTTCCTTAAGGTTTGTTTGAAAATCTTATTGAGAAGATTGTTGATATAAACATTGAAGAAAAGTACCTTCACCACTGTATTTCTTGCTTCAGAAAGATCAATGACGGATAGTTCGTCTACATGGCAATCATCATGTGTATCATTGCCATTACCATCTTCACACTCCGAGTTCGAGAATTTAGTTTCTTTTTCAATCTCTTGGTCTTTGCAGTATACCAAATCACCCAACACAACCTGGTGCATCCCTGCAGTATTATTTTATACCATTAGAAGAACTAAGAAGTCAAACCCCAGGTAAATTTGTCCCTCTAAAAAGAACATTCAGAAGCTGAAAGTCCATTGCTCATGTTGGTGTTAAATAAAATAACATGATTAGTAAGATTGATTTTTGCATTTTAGATTACAACAATTCAATTGTACGTGAGTAATAGACGCACAGAGAGAAACCTTGAATTTGTTCGAAATAATCAGATTTTAATGATAGCAGATTTTTGGTAGAAGTGGACTGAAAAATATCAAAATGTAATACTTCCCTTAATTCTAATGACCTGAAAGGTTTCAGCTGAAAAGAAAAGCTTATTTGTTTTTGAGCCAAAGAGAGGAACAAAAGAAAAATCTAAAGGTCACATACCATATTTTTGTACCCTCATACTTGCTGCATGGTTCCATAAATAGCTTTGATAGCTATGCACAAACCTGAAAGATGAAAATGTATTCCATTACTAAAGCGTGAAGAGACTTCAATTTCAAAAGGTAAAGATGAAAGAACGCAGTGAAGGTTTTTGTGCAAAGGCTCAAGTTGATCACTCAGCCCACTATATATTTACACACCATAATGAAACGAAGATGGAAAGGCATTTGAAGCTAAAATTCATTGACACGGTTACAATTTATTATAACTTTGTCAAGTAATGTTGAGTGTTGGCATAGTTATGCCAACAACTTATAGCTAAATAAGAGCAGAACAGTCTGGCATTCAGACAGGATACGGTTGTCTTAATTTTGGCATGTTGCAAGCCAAGATCTAGTGAAGTACTCTTTTCCTCCAAAAATAAAGGTTCCGTCATACCAGGTACAACCTTTATACCAGTTAGCATATAAATACAAGCAAACAAACTATTGAATAAAAACAACGATATGAAAAACACAAATGCAGATAACTACGAAATAATGTTGATCGTGTAAAGGATACTTACATCATTCTTAGTGTCCTGGGTATAGCCAAAAGAGCTTGTAAGTAATTTCCAGGATTTTTTTGAAAACAATACAGCTGGATATCAAAATGGAAATCGTTTGTCATGAACACGGGTTATAATGAATCCAATTGAGTGTACATGATCAGTGATAATTCGAGATAAATAGCATATATAGAGAAAGACTATTAAGTTAGTATAACAAGACTTACAATAGAACGTTCCGCAACCAGATGGCGTGGTAACTGTCTTAGAGTTCCCTCGATATCACCACTTTCCTTGTAATATTCCCTTATAGTCCTTGTGACATCCTTCTGTACTCAGACATCTTAGTCAAGAAAAATAAATATATGATCCAGCAGTTTAACAAGTCCATTCTTGTTAAGAAATATGTAAACACGCTAATAAATATGGAAAAGGATATCTCCTTCTCGTGGGTCAAGAATCATGCTAACAGCAGCTTTCCATTCTCCACGAAGTAATGCAGCTCCAATGAGATGAGTTGGTATAGAACTGCTTCCAAACCGCTGAATAGCATCAAGCTTCAGAGTTAGTTGATGCTCGAAATATGAAATAAAAAGTGTTTCTCCATCAACTACATAAACATCATCCTTAATGAAAGGTGAATAGTTTAAGTTCGATATATAAGCACATGATAATTTGAAATGGAAAAATATCTCTGAAACCAACACAATGACTTATATTTTAGCATGTCAAATTATCTATTAACTATCACAAGCATCAAAAAAATTATGTAATTTAGATAATGCTATTAAATTCTCTTCTCTGGACCACTGATGGATATCCAAGATTGCTTACAAAACTTTTCATTGAGCACCAAACCATGCAAAAACATCAATAATGGGGAAGGTAATTGATAACTATGTACCATTATTTTCAAACTATGTTTGTGAATAGTCGGCTAATAAAAAGGTAAAAAAACAAAATTAAGAGACTAAACGTGCATATCCATCATCACCTGCATCATAAAAACCTAGCGAGACAATGACTTGGCTAATAAAAAAGTAAAAGACAAAATTAAGAGAGAATGTAATTATATTGTAGAATGTATATACTCATCCACGAATGTGATGTGACATTGTAATTACATCCATTTTATATTACCAAGTCATTGGTTCGTTAGGTTTTTATGATGCAGGTGATGATGATATACACGTTTAGTGGTTCACCTAGTCTCCAGAAGGGTCAGAAAGATCGAGCAGTTTTGTTGTTGTTAAACAAGCTGCTCTGTTATGGTTCTGTAAACATATGTATACTAATCCAAGGATTAATACACATGGTTAATTTTTCCTTCTGAAAGAAATTTCCTTGGCATTACAAATCATAATATTTTATTAGTGATGAAAAGTGAACATTCTTGGCTTAATTTTATTAGCTCAATTGGATTTTGAAGTTTGGTTAAGAGTGTTACAGGGTTAAAGGCATATATCCACATCCATGTTATTACAAATCTAAAAAGTTTAATGACTAGGATAACAACCTACTGTCGGAGGAAGCCACCTAGGCTACAAACAAATGTACATTAATAAAATATCTCTCAGCATTCTCAAAATATTGCAAGTAATAGGAAGCATGTATTATATTTCAACTAACTGAATATTTTCATAGACAATGCATCCTTTTGATCAAAATATATACATTTTAGATTAAATACAACCGAAATCCCTACTAATTAGCTCTATAATCAGTTTCGCATTTTAGCTAAATCAGTTTTTCTGTAACACTCCTCTCAGGTTAAATTAAAAATATTAATCATGCATAACTTGTTACAAATATATTCTGCTTGATTCCGGTTTAGAGCCTTTGGTAAGATGTCCCCTAGTTGGTTTCATGTCTACCCGTCACCATTAGATATCGAATTTCTTAAATTTTCTCTCAAACGAAAGGACAATCAACTTCAATCTGTTTAGTTGTTTCATGAATATTGGATCTGTGAGGCAACATGCAGAGCAACCTGATCATCTCAGCTTTGCTGGTAATGATGAGTAACACGAACTTCAGTCAAGAGAAAATTATCCGAAAACATGGTTTCTATATTCTTATTATATACTGGATAGGATACAACATTTTATTTCTTACTTTTCCATGAGACCAAGTTCCATCTAACAAAGACAAGGTAACCTGAAGTGGGCCTCCTATCAACCTTAAATCTTGCCCGATCAGAATCTGGAAAAAACTCAATCTTAGAATGTCCATGATTCCTATACGATATACCAATCCAAAATGCCCCTTTCAAGTAACATGGGATAATGTTCCAAAGCTGCCCAGTGATCAACTGTTGACTAACAATGATAAGTTGCTGACTGGGTACGGATTTATGAATGGGTCACAATCGGTTGAAGTTTAAGTTTTCAAACCTGGTGCTTGAAGTTGAGACTTCCAAAATTGGAAAGCAGAGTATTTAACAGTATTGACAGAGGTAGAATAAAAGCAAGAGAAGATGGTCCTTAATAACCTGCAAACCAAAGTAGTTGATAAATCCATTATTTCCTAAGGCAGTAGCAGATGCTCTAATAATATCTTCAACATCGGAACTAACACTTCTGCAAACATGGAAAAGTACAATTGTAGTTTCAATGATCAAAAGCACAGTATGATAGGAAATCATTGGCGGATATAGGAATTCACGCAACATGACACACCTTAATGTAATTGTGAATCGATTTCCTTGAAGTTTACCAAGAACAAGTTCTTCATCAACATAGCTGCAAAAGAAAACAATTCAATCAGGGAATGGTGCATAAATATAAATCATGACATGCATATAGGCAAAAATTGCATGTATGCTCTTACCAGAAATTTCCGACTTTGATACCAAATAACCTATCATTAAGTGCTGCTAATTTACTCGCCCGCTGCTTAAAAACAGTAACCTAAATGCAAAGATGAAAGAACACAGAGATGTGTAAGAAGTATACGATAAAATGAGAATAAGATGTCAAACAGTCAAGCACACCACTCGATTAAAGATGCAATATATGATACGTAAACATATAAATAAAAACTCCTGGAAATATTTTAAGAAGGCAATACCATTTTTTATAATCAAAAACTTGATGCCATCTAAAAAATTGTGATCATAATTCATTACGGATAAATTTTACTCTGAACAAATAACAACTTTATATAAATAACAACACAAAGGTGAATTTATATGTCCTATCCTTTCAAACACGAGTGTTAATGATGGTTACCTTAGTTTTTACATATGGAATGTTCAACAGTACAAATTTTAGCTGACAAATGAAGGTAAGACAACAATTGTTCCACCATGTTTTTTTTTCCTTTCATCTTCTTACTCTTTTAAGAAAAGAACTAAATTGTTAGGGACAAGGAGCCTCTAGTATGCGCAATGAGATAACCAGGTATACTTTCCCTTCATTCTAATCTGGCTCAGTAACATAAGTCAGAACGTAGTGCTTTAGCGAAAAACTAAGGCACTTACAAAGAAATGATTTTTGGCACGCAGATTAATTTAAATTCACTCAATTTAAATTCAGCAGTGAATAGCCTATAATCTTAATTCTTGCAAAAATTATTTAAAATCGTTGAACTTTGAGTGGACAACCTATCAAGGGTACAAGAATCTCGGCTCTGAGACAATACAATCTCAAACATATATAGACCAGAATATATGTTCCAGTTCTCAATCCACTTCCAATTTTATACTCTCAGAACTTCATGCTTATTTCATCCATATGCCAAGTTCATCTGATCATTTTTTCCACAAAAACTAATATCCAAAACGTATAATTTAACTTCAACTCTATAGAAAACACTAATATGACTTCTCGATCACTATTCCCATCATTTTGATTCAAATTAGAGTAAATGGACTCAGTAATATCAACTATCTCTACTTATTATATAATAAGTATGAGACATACACCTAGAAATCTTCCTATTGAAATGTATTGAGATCACTTAACTCAAGATGAACCCCACAACTATTAATTGGACCTAACTAATATGTCAATATTTCAATTTGCACTATTTCAATGGGATCTTCAATCACCCACAGAACTTACTAAATAATTATCACATGGAAGTAAGTCAAAAGAGACAGTAGTCTTTCAATAACCAGAAATGGTTAAGAGTTTTATATGGAACAAAATAAAAAATGAAGTTACCCTTTGAGTAGATACAGAGCGTTTATCTTTTGTGCCAGCAAACCCAAAAGACCTCGGCTGCCAAATCAGAAATTGGAAGTATAACGTCAAGTCATAAACACTTGGAAGATTTGCTTCAATAATTTAATGAATAATAAAAAGGGTTAACAATCAAGGGAAACTACTGAATACAGCCGTTAATAAAGTTCGTATCACTTATCACTGAAGAAGATATAGGAATACTTGAAAGTACCTGAACACCAATCATCTTTCCGAGGATCCCTAGAGCCTCCTGTGTATCCTTGTTCTCCTTGTATAGATAAAACCTATGAATACAATATCAATCTCTATCAGTTATTTCATACCACTAAATTCCATGAGCATGAAATTAGCCAAACAAGGAGCAGTTACAAAATTCAGGAGAAAACAAATTCTGTAAAGTCAACTGATCATCACGAAAGTAAGATAAATGCAAAATTTTCATAAGAAAACAGCTTTTCAGGCACATGCAGCTGGCTGCAAATCCACAGGTTAATATCCCTAATACAGCAAAAAGAACAAGATAAGTATCGATTTTCAAGATAGCAACTGGATGTTTCTACTGACCTAATCGAGATAAGTATCGGTTTTTTTAAGTAACCAGCAGAAAAATTCATGCAAAACTCTAGCAAGAAAAGTGAGTACAATAACAATTTAAATCATAGAACGCATTCATTGCCTTTAACCTTCTTCGGTGACATACACTATTCAAAAACCAAATTGAAAGTATAAAAGGTAATTACTCTTCAAACACAATCCAGCCACCAAATAATTTACATTATTCAGTTAAGAGAGAAAAGGATACATGCGGCAACAAGTGATTTAAAATAGAACCAACAGGCTGTGATTTTTTAACAATTTATTTTTAGGAAAATAAAAAAAGGTGAAGCAAAATACAGAGCATGAAATGGTTATTTTATTTGAAAATCCAAAATTAAATGGCTACCACATATTTTCTAATTTTTATTATAAATTTCAACGTTAAATGCCATAATTATAAACCAGCCAAGAAGCATATTCCTCTGATACATCTAATTTTTTTGGAGCATGTATTCTCAAGTTCATTTTTTCCTCTCCAGCTAGGAATGGTAACCACAATTTATAAACAACTTCAATAGCCCAGTCCTTGTTAAATATGTCAATTGCCTGCAGTTCTTACTAGAACACCTCTTTCAAACACTTGTGTTGTCATTGTATAAACCAGCATCCAGGCCCCCGCCATAGTTTTTTAAATTAGTTACATACTCAATGATATTGGAAGATGGACTTTTAACCGTCAATGATTATGTATGCCGTTGTTACTCGAATAATGATTATCCATGTAGTTAGCATATTCCAGTATCACCGGGAAAAAAATGTTTAACTTCCAGCATCACAATGAGTACAATATTTTTCAACATCACATGAGAGATGCACCCTAAAACTTTTAACAGCTTTACATCCAACATCAAGTCCAATCTAAAGATTGAATCAGGTTAAAAGAAAAGGAATCAGGTGAACTTTAGAAGTCCTTCTTTCTCCTTTTTTCTATTGCTCTAGTTGCTTTTTTTACATTTCGTATAGTATAAGTAGGGAAGAAAAGTCATTCACATCTTTCAATACATATAATTGTATGCCCTCTCCGCCTCTCTTCCCGTCAATACATACGTCTCCCAAACAGTAACAGAATAAGTTCAGGCCTGGTATTCATTTAGCCACCCAAAAATTTGCCTTAAGAATTACCTTTGTTATTGAATTATTTTGTTTTAACCATGCATATCATTTCATTTCCTTATGATTCACATTCATTTGTAAATTCGATCTCATTACCAAAAAAAAAAAAGGAATGTAATTTAGTTGATTAAAATAAAGATATTATGGGCATTAAAAAGATAAAAGAAAGTGCTTGAAATGGAAGCATCACCTAAGAAACTTGCCAGTGTTATCTGGCCAACTATCTGTGCCTCTAGAATCATACTGCTGTTGCCCTCTATCTTTTCGTTTCCTGGAGTTGTTTCCCCTGGCATTATTATTAATTCCTGAGTTCAATCGCACACGAATACATTTTGATGAGGAATCAGGTCCATCAACTGTGTCAGTAACAAGGAATTTCAGTCTCTCTTTGAAGAAGTTGTGAACAGCCTGAAAATCAATCATGTTGCCATGAATAGTAAGGAATATTATGTATAACCTAGCATTAAAAAATAATAATAAATAAATAAACTGTGCGGGATTACCGTTCGGTGGGTTTTATCAGAGCTTGGGGAAAGAACAATTGATTCGTCATTGGTTTTAACTCCTGAACTAATTTGATCTATAAAAAATTTCAACTTCTCAGCATCAGAATCACCAACAAGAGTTCTAAAAGATTCTATCTCCGAAGCATAGTCTTTCTCCAGTTGATCAGCTACCTTTTCTTTCTTTTCTCCAGCAGCCTATCAAACCAAATTATGTGTCAGCGCATCACCAAAGCTTCAATGCTAAATAATTAGACAAAATGACTGTGCAATGAGTAAGAAATAGCTGCGCACCTCTGATGGAGGAGCCTCCAGTGAGGTTAAGTGAACGACATTTCCATCCATGTCGACTTCATTTACAATAAAATCCGAATACCTGAAAAGGAACCAATAAGATAAAGGCTTGTACTCATTTTCTCCAGAAGTCGTAGCTCAAATACTCATTAATAAATATATCAATTATGGATAACGTACATATGAAACCTTGGTATTAGCAATACTTGTTACACTACCTTGAGCAACTGCCTAAATTCTGGCCAAATAACTTAACTCGACGACTTATTCTCCTCCTATCAGAGGAAAAGGACCGCACTTTATAGGCACCACCAGTGTTGCCATGTGATAAACTTCTTCAAGCTCAAGTTTGTCAGCATATATTTCATTCGAACTAATGTAACATATACGGCTATCTATAGTAAAATTATTCATAACTTCATCTTAACTAAGCTCAGGCTACTACCCGGTTATATAAACTTCAGAGAAGGTCTCATATGTTTAGTGGAGGTTTTGAGCTTCATATAACATTCAATGTCCATCAATTCCTTCCCGTCACATCAATGTATTCTAAATGAAGTTGTGCACTGTAATTGCTCACTTCAATTTCGTAAGATTAGCTGGTCAATCAAAACTGCGAGTGTAATTGATCCAAACATGGGTAGCCGGAACGGCACTGCAATTACATTTGACCCAAATATCGAAGGTATCGGTTATCCCTAAACAGGTAGGGCGAATTATCTATGAGAAAAAACAAAAACTCGAAAAAGGATAACCACGGTTGTGCTATAGTATTTCCTCTGTAAACGTATCAAATGAAGGGACAACATTCCAAAAATCTCATTCTGCAAAAACACTCTAACCCTGAAAAGCAACCAAATTCCACTCCGTATACGAAATTTTCTACTTAAAATTTTACAGCCACAAACAATTAGATCAGGCAAACACTTACAAAGTCGAAGAGAAAGATATAAAGGAAATTTGTTTGCATCTCGAATTCTTAATTGGAAAAAAAAAAAAAAAAAAAAACGCGAGGATGAAATGTGATAAGACAATGGTAAAAGAAGCAGCAAAAGTAGAAAGGGAGAAACCTCTGCTTGAGAATTCCACGAAAGCCGGGGAGAGGAGAAATGTAGCAGAGGATTCCAACATCAGATTCTTCAGCGGAAGTCATGCTTCTAACCACCGTCGTCGTACGGCGGGACAAGGAGGGTTTTAGAGGGGCGGTAAGTATCTGTATGGGGGGGTAGGGTTTAAATTGTATTTGGTTCAAAAACGTTCGCACCGAGAGTATTATTTGCATTTTCAGTATTGATGATGCTAAAATATTGCTCACCTAGGGTAGTATAGAAAACGAGCTGGGAGAGCAAAGCTGATCAGTAGCTAGTCAATTCGATGTTCCTGAGGTCCCTACAAAACAAGTACACGTGAACTAAGCCGGGGGTTGATCCGGCGGAAACCCCTCCGACGCTCAAGTCAGATGTATGGATCGTAGAGAGAGTAGAGAGAATAAAACTTGAGGTGAATTGTCAATAATCAGAACGTACCTTTTCGAATGAATAAAATATCTATTTATATATCGTTGAATGGGTTGGGCTTACTTTGTTGGGCCCAAGCCTTATTTTGAAGGAGCTTGGGCTTTCGTGTAATGGGCCTAATTGGTATATAAATTTGAGGGCCCATTGGGCCGGCCCATTTAGGTATATCATTAAGCCCCCCAACTCTCGGTTCGAGACGGGGACTTGTCTAGAGGTATCCGGGTCGTGTCGAGAGTTAATTGCGTCGTCTATTGAATTGTTTCCGTTGGTGGTGAAATAATTCCTTAATTTAAATAAGGGATTATTGTATTTATTTGGCAGCCAGGTATATATTTAAGGGTTTTAAATAATATACTAGGGCCAGATAAATAGACTCCTTTTGCGGTGGAAAGCGTTAAAGTTCAGCTCCTACGAAATATATATGGGTATGTATTTTTAATTCTCGATCTTCTTCTGTGCTATTCTTCTCTTGAAAAATATTTCTTGCGGTAGAGTAGAAAATCTGTTGTTTTCTTGATTGCTTCTCTGGGGAAAAATATTTCTGATGTCGAACTCGGGTAATTCGAAATCTTTGCGAATTAAACTTCGAGATCCGGTTGGAGGGGGCAGGAAAACTTTTGGGACGGTGGGTGTGGAACGCGAGAAACTTGTGGTATCGGGTGCGGAAATCGGATCCGCAGTAGAAGATGCACGGAATTTTGTGCAGATGAGGGAGAAAAGGGGGGCTGCTGCTGGCTTGAGCCGCGCCGGAAGCCGGGTAAATATGTGTGTGGGCGCGCGCGTCGAGGCGGCTTTGGAGCCGAGAAGAGCTGATGAGCCACCGGCTTGCACGAAGAGCGAGGAGAGAGGAGAGAGAAACAACAGGCCACGTGGGCCTGCTGCGGCTGAAGGCGCGTCGGAGGTGGGGCAACGCGCGCGCGGGATTGGATCGTGTCCCGACGCGCGCGTGTTGGTTGGTGGCAGTGGCAGTGATGACGCGCGCGCGCTGCCCAATCAAGGGGCGCGTGCGCGCGCGTCGGTGGCGGATGGTGAGGGCGGTGATGACGCGCGCGCGCTGCCCAATGTGGGCGCGCGTACGCGCGCGTCGCTGGAGTGTTTCGGGGCGCGTGAGCGCGCGTGTGTGGCTGGGGAAGAGCCACGTGGGCTAGCTGTACTGGGGGACGCGCGCGCGCGTGGTTCAGCCCCTTTTGGGGTCGCGCGCGCGCGTGAGGGCGCGTGTGAAGTTGGTTTCGGGCTCGGTTCGCGCGAAATTAACGGGCAAATTTCCGAGGGTGCTAATGTGCGTGATGTTTTACATGGGGAAAGTTTTGGTCGGCGAGAAATCATTGAATCGTGGAGTGACGATGTAGAAGTGCATAAGGATATTACTATTCCCCCTACCGTTGATGAAGTGGGTTCTAGTAGACGTCATTATAGGCGTCAAGTCGTGGATTTTGGGAGTGATAGCGATGATTCTAACCAATCGCCTTCGCCGAGTGAACATGCGGTGGCGAGTAGTGAAGTTGAGCCGATGGTCGAGGAGGAGGAGGAAGATGATATTCCGCTGGGTGATGTTGAGGTTGATAGTAGAAGGCAAAAGAAAAAGAAACTAATTAATTTGGACTTAGTTGATTTTGATAGTGTGTTGACGGAAGAGCATCTGCACTCTATTCGTCGTTTATCTGGAGCGCCAAGTAATGTTGAGTTGTTGTTGCCTCAGAAGGGTGACCGTTTGTATTCGCCACCCGATGGATTTCATACGGTGTTTTTGGGTTACTTGACGTGTACATCTCAGATTACACCGCATCCGACCTTGTTGAAGGTTTGCGAGGAATTTAAGATAGGGTACAGTCAGTTAACGCCGACTGCAGTTCTTACGTTCGAGGCGTTTCACCATAGGTTGTCTTTAGTTGGTTTGCCTATGACCGTGAGTTTGTTCAAGGCGTTATTTACGTTACATCGTCCCAATATGACGCCTTTCTTTTGTTTTCATCCTCGCGTTCCTTATCGATTCGTGAAGAGTGTGAAGTTATCTTTGGGGAAATGGAAGACCCATTTTTTTTATGTGAGGGCTCCCACTTTTGAAGTTCTTGTTGTTTGGAATCCTTCGTGCGAGAGTTTCACGATAACTGCGAATATGGCGAAAAGGATTGAAGAGTCGGGATTGTGTGACGTGGAATTTGACCCGAGGGTTTTAATACCAAAGCCGAAGGGTCAGCGCTGCACATACGAGCGGTACAGCGCCGTGTGTTT